CCACACTGGTCTACAGCAGCTGAAGCAATTCTGTTCTTCCAATTTCAAGAAAGCTAAAATGATTCCAGAGGAAGAGGAAACAAATGAGCAGAAACCATTAGATGACTGAAGGAGGCTCTCTGGAGGTGCTTGTAGCAGCTCTTGAAATCCCAAACTATTATTCCAGTAATTTGGAGCCTTGTTCACAGGCACTGTTGTGAAACAGGGCAACCATGCTCCAGAAGCAGCAGAAGGTTGGCTTGAAAATAGTGGTTTTGTTTCCCTTGCTTTCTCAAGGGGGGGGGGGGGAGCATGAGCCTCAGCCATTCTTCAATGACCTGTCTCCATCCTTAGCATCATTTTGTTTCAATGTATGGCTCTAGCCAAACATCCTTGTGGGTCAACTAATGTTGTTGGTCTCTTGCCAATACTTTTGGGCATAACCAGCCAGGCTAGAAGTAATTACTTTCAGCACTTCTGGTTTCACAAAGCCAACAACTAAGAACATAGCAGTAAATTGTGCATAATAAAACTGTGAACATAACATTACATTGTGCACAAAAAGGCAACAGACGCGATAGAGGGAAGAGAGCAAGGGCAGGTTGCATGCTAGAACCAGGCCTGGATGTGGATGAGCAAACAGCTTTCAGTGAGGATATATGCTATTCTGTCTTCTTTTTGCAATATTTCTGGCAGTCTGCAAAGGCCCTAACTCACACAAAAAGAAGACCCTGGCACAACCTTCCCTACTTTGAGTTGGATGATGTCAAAACAGGTACAATTAGAAGCAACCATGTTTAAAGCCAAGCTATGGGGGAGGACAGATAGAAAAATATCAACCTACTCCAGCAAGCAATATTGGGGGGGGGGGGAATTAATGAATCTTGAAGAACAGGTTGCCAGCGAGTTGGTGGTTGTCAGGATAAACAGAGCCAGCTGAATAGCCAGAAAGCTTGTAAAACAGTACATGAAGTTTCTGAACCATTTACAGTGGTTTAAGGGGCATGAACTTGTCAGGGTGCTCTTATGTGCTCATCTTCCTCCATTGCTCAGATCTCTAGTCAAACAATCCTAAATCGTGCTGTCTAGCTCCACTCTCTCCATTATCACTTTGCTCATATGAATGGGATGTACTCTCCAAGCAAGCAAAAATGCAAGGAAATCTGGCTTCCAGTTCATATAATAATAATAATAATAATAAAATTTATTTATATACCGCCTGGTGG